TTTGCAAAAAATATTTATAGCTTGTTGAGGAGTATTAATTTATAAAATGAAGTAATTTATCTCCTAAATGCCCTTGATAGTAATTAAGAATGATGGGTTATTATAGAAAATTCTCACATACATGTAGAAAGCTCTCTTTGATTGATGTGCAGCCAAATCTACAACTTGGTAATGTCCATAGCATATGATTCAGCTTCTTTAAAAATATTTATTTAGTTAGTTACCTAGTTAGTTAACTAATTTGAAAGACAGGTACTAAGAGAAATAGCTAATTCCCATCTGGCGGTTCATTCCCTAAACAATTGCAAAATCTGAAGCTGGGCCAGTCTGAAGCCAGGAGCTGGGAACTCAGCCCAGGCCTGTCATATGAGTGACTCAAATACGTAAGCCATCATGTGTTGCCTCCCAAGGTGCACATTAGCAGGAAGATGGAATTAGAAAGACCGAGGACTTTCCAGGCACTCCTCTGAAATTAGATGTGGGCATTAAGTGACATTTTAACCAGTGCACCTTATGTCTATTTCTGAATTTTTAGAATTACCTATATGATGTGCTGTAAGGTTTATCAAGCTTGACACTCTTAGCATTGGGGTCAGGCAATTCAGTTGTCAATGCACCTTGTGCACTAAAGTTGTTATGCAGCATCCTGGGTCCTCTCATACTAGATAATGTTATTATCACACCCCCCACCCCGGCCTCCATTGTAACAGCCTACACAGATCTCTGTTTCCCCTGGGGTAGAAGAAGAATTTCCCTGGTTGAGAACAACTGCTTTATAGAGAATTAAATGGTAATATATGTGGAAATCTGGGTATACATAAAAACAAATAGGTGTAAAATCATAGTAATTTGAACAACATGTATTATGGGGGTCATAACATCATAACCATTTTCCCATACCATTAGAAATTTTCAAAAAGCGTACTATGAAAGTGATGTGCTTATTTTATCAGCATGAAATACTCTATTAGAATCATGCTGTTTCAGATTTTTTTAAAAGATTTATTTTTATTATTTTTTTATTGGAAAGGCGGATATACAGAGAGGAGAGACAGAGAGGAAGATCTTCCGTCCGATGATTCACTCCCCAAGTGAGCGCAACGGCCGATACTATGCCGATCCGAAGCCAGGAGCCTCTTCCGGGCCTCCCACACGGGTGCAGGGTCCCAAAGCCTTGGGCCGTCCTGACTGCTTTCCCAGGCCACAGGCAGGGAGCTGGAAGGGAAGCGGGGCTGCCGGGATAGAACCGGCGCCCACATGGGATCCCAGGCGTGCAAGGCGAGGACCTTAACCACTTGAGCCACCGCGCCAGGCCCTGTTTCAGATTTTTTTAAAAAGATTTATTTTTATTGGAAAGGCAGATATACAGAGAGGAGAGACAGAGAGGAAAAACTTCCGCCCGATGATTCATTCCCCAAGTGGCCGCAACGGCTGGAGCTGAGCCAATCTGAAGCCAGGAGCCTCTTCCGGGTCTCCCACGCGGGTGCAGGGTCCCAAAGCTTTGGGCCGTCCTAGACAGCCTTCGTGGGCCACAAGCAGGGAGCTGGATGGGAAGTGGGGCTGCCGGGATTAGAACCGGAACCCATGTGGGTTCCCGGGCATGCAAAGTGAGGACCTTAACCACTACACCATCGTGCCAGGCCCTGTTTCAGATTTTTAAAGACAAAGGACATTATATGGATCATTTTTCTATATTTTAATTTAATTTGTTTTGTTGTGGCTATTGCATTATGCATTATAGATACTAATTTCTTATCAGAGAAATAGTTTGTAAATATTTTTCTTATTCTGCAGGTTGTTTATTCAGACTGCTGATTGCTTGCTTGCAGTGCAAAAGCTTTCTAATTTGATATTATAGCATTTTCCCCTTTGCTTTTGTTTCTTGTACTTTTGAGATATCTAAAAATTTGCACAAACCAGTGTCCTGATATATTTCCATTATGTGTTCTTCCCATAGTTACATATCTTATATTTAACTCTTTAATCAATTTGAATAGATTTTTGTATATGTGAGAGCTACATATCTTTTAAAAAATCTCCTATTTGTTAGCATCCAATTTCTCCAGTGCCATTTGTTTAAAATATTATTCCCTTCCCAATATATATTCCTGCTACCCTAAAAATCAGTTGGTTTTAAAACTGTGCAATTCTTTCCGGGTTCCTTATTCTGTTTCATTGGTCTCTGTGTCTGTTTAATATGTCACTGCTTTATTGCTTGGGCTACTATGTTTTTGAAAGATATTCTGAAGTTAGGTAAGGTGATGTTTTTAGCTTTATTCCATGACCTCGGGATTGTTTTGGCTCTTTGAGGCTTCATAAGAATTTTGGGTTGTCTGTGAAGAATATCATTGGTATTTCAAAAACGATTTTCATATTTTACAAAAGAGGACATATAGATAGCTGGTCAGTGTATAAATTAAAATGCATATCACTATAATCATCATGAAATACAAATCAACGTGATAAGATGCCATCTCATCACTATTATCAAAAAAGCAGACAATAAGTGCTGGCAATTATGTGGAGAAAATGCAGTTCCTGCACACTGTTGGTGGGAATGTAATTTAATGCAGTCATTATGGAAAACAGTATAGGGGTTCTTCAAAAACTAAAAATGTAAGTACCATTTGATCTAAAGATGTCACTACTGGGCATATATTTAAAAGCAAAGAAATCAGTATGTCAAGGGGACATCTGTACTCCCATACTTATTGTAGCAGTGTAGTCAAGACATAAAACCAACTTAAGTGTCTATCAACAGATGAATCGATTAAAAATTTTTTCTCTGTGCACAATTATTATAAAGCCACAAAAACTTTAGTTCCCACTGCTGATTTATGTGATTTCTGCATCAACTGTCACAACACAAAATGACAGAGGAGTCATAAATAGCAGGAACACATACCATTCAATTATTTATTTAATTCTACCCTGTATTTTAAATATTTAATATCCTATTCATATTCTATTTCTATTCAATTCATCATAAATTTATATTATATATTTCATTCTAAATTTAATTTCATTATTTTCTGGCATTTTAAAATCTATAATGTGTATTTCATGGCTCTTTAATTTCAGTTCTTTAATTTCACACTGTACTCCATTTCATCCTAGTCTCATACTTTTTATTTAATATAACTTATTTCAGTGGTTTCACTCATTTTCCAATGATATTCCACTCAATTTTCATTTGTATGTTCTGTTGAAGCCCCTATTCCATTACCCTATTTTATTCTAGTTTTTACTTTCTGTCAGTATCGATTTAATCCCACTCTACATTCCATTTCAAATCCATTTTCCATTCCACATTATTGTACACTCCGAATACCATTCCATTCTATTTTGGGTCATGTTTCAGTGCAGTTGCTCACCCATTCCCTTAAATATCCTATTCTATCTTGCTAAAATTGTTATACTAGCAGTTTTCAGAACAGTTTGTCAATTTTTTTATCTAAAAATTATAAATGTGCATAGACATATCAAGAATTTCTCTTCTAGGATTTAGCCACAAGTACACTGAGGGTATGAGGTATTTTTTACTGAGAAGGATACGTCTCACAAAGTGTAAAGATGTGTAAGTGTTAGCCGCTATTGGAATACTTAAAAACATAAGCTTTATTCCTAACAGGTGTATTTTGTACTTGCCAAAGTGTATCATCGAAACTTATTTATTGACATAGGAAGTGTGCGATGCGCATCCCCCAAAATAAGTAAAAAGATATACACATAACTCCATTTTTAAAAAACAATAGTGAAGTATGTATAAATGGTTTTTTATGTCGCAATCCGCCTAAAAATTCCCAGAATTTACCGACTAATATGCAGCATTTGGGAGCTAGTTTTCCTACATTTGCTTTTGTGATGTGGGAACAGAATGTACGACTTTCCTAATGATGACTAAAAACGAGCAAGTTTGTGTGCGTCACATATTAACAGAACTAGCGACTAGTTCAAATAATTTGTTCATGTGTGAATTACTATACAGACTGCACAAGTATCGATGCGTATTAAGTGCTGTGTCACCCTTAATCCTAGGCAATCCCTGTCCTGCGTCCCAGGGGAGAAAGCGGGGAGCAGCGTCTCACTGGAACATTCTAAACACCTCGGACGCGTGGGATCTGAGGGAACCTGCGGAGCGGCGAGTCCGGAGCCAAGACACTCTAGGCCCGATTCTTTTTGTGCCATTGTGGTCGTTTGCCAAGCCACAGACTCTGAAGGCCCTGTGTGGGGTCATCCCGATGCCTGGGGGAGTTACTTCAGGCCGGTCACCGCTCGCATCCCACGGCGCCCCACTGTCCTGACTAGATCCCAGGAGGGATTTCTGGCCAGGGATATAGAGCCCGTTAGCCAGTGCGGTATTCCTCTCACGTGATCACTGAGATTGGGGCGACAAGCTAATTTGGGGGTGATGTGAACTGCTCCGACATTTTGCCGCCGACATCTTGCCGCCGACATCTTGCCGCGCGGCTGTCGTGGCGGCCTGGTTTCTGAAATAGGGCGCCGTTTTTGAAATACGCTGTGCTACAGTCCCACCTTGGGGACACAGAAACTTAAGACTGTCGACAGGATTCGGGACAGATCCTGTGCTAGAACTGGAATACACTTGTCTAAAACTAGAAGTTAGAAAAGGGGCGCCGCCCTGCCCCCTCCAGCCTCCGTGCGGACGTTATTCTCGCCACCCCTCCCCCACCCGGAACCCTGCCAACCGCCGTAGGACTCCTGCCTCACACACACGTGCAGCTGTGGGGGTTGGGGAGTTCGTGGGCGACGAGAGTAACACGTGATGCCCTTCTGACCAATCAGAGACGAAGATTCGGCCGGCCACACCCGCCCGGGGGGGCGAACGGGCTTTTTCCTCGCACACCGCCAGGAGAACTTCCTCATTCGCGCCTGCCTGCGCTTGCGACGGTTCGCTCGCGAACTCGCGCTTGCGACCTGCGCTCGCGAACTCGCTCTCACAGCCACCCCGCTCGGTCTCTCAGCCGGAGTCCGCCGTCATGTCCACGCAGTCCCGCTTGGAGAAGGAGATGCGGCGGCAGCTGAGTGAGGTACCCGAGGGCCTAAACCGGGAAGCCTTCTTTGGCTCCGGGGATGCCTGCGGTCCCAGCCGGAGCTATCCGCTGGTTCAAGCCGCCGGGGCCGCCTCAGGTGACGGGTTGGCCGGTGCCCTGCTCGGTAATTCCGGTGATGGCCCTTTGGCAGCCGGTACCGCCTTTCCTAACGCGCAGGGAGGCCCTGGGCTGCCCACCATGGCCATTGCGCAGGCAAATGATTCAGACCTGCAGGGCAGCCCGGGTCTGGGCTCAGCTCCCTCAGGGAGCGACGCGTTTGCGGTAGAGCTCGCAGGGCAGGGCACCGAGCAGCTGGGCGACCAAGCGTCCTCGGCCCAGAGCCCCGAGACCAAGCGGCGCAGGAAGCAGCCCCGCCGCCAGCCGCCTCTGCCGCCCTCTTCCAGCGGCAGTGCTGGAGCCCGCCGGGCAGGCCCTGCCGTCGCGGGGCGGGCCACGCCACCACGCCAGGTGGCCGCGGGCAGCGGGCCGTCGTCGCCCGAGCTGCAGCTCGAGGGGCCCGGCGCAGGCCGCACCACCCGAGGGCGCGCGTCTGCTCCGGGCCCCTCGTCGGTGCGGAGCCGCGCCTCCGCCCCGAGCCGTGGCAGCCGCGCCTCCGCCGAGCCGGGCCCCGCCGTGCGAAGCCTGGCCCTGCAGGCGGCTCCGGCCGTCCGCGGCCGCGGCACCCAGGTGGGTCCGGCCCGCCGCAGCCGTGCCACGCAGACGGATCCTCTGCCGCCACGCCAGGTGCCCGAGGCGGGGCCCAGCCGCCGCAGCCGCTCCGCGCCGCCCCGCCGTGCCCGCCGCAGCCGCTCCACGCAGACGGGTCCCGCCCGCCGCCGCCGCGCCACCAGCCCCGCCGCCGGGAGCCGCGCCGCCCAGCCGGGCCCCGCTCGCCGACGACGCCGCGTCAGCCGCAGCCCCGGGGCCCGAGGCCGCGGCGGGAGGCCGGCTCCCGCGCCGCGCAGCCGCCCCGAGCTGCAGCGCCCGCCGAGCCGTCGACGCCCCGCGCCGTCGGGGGCCCGCGCCCGGCGCTCCGTCTCGGCGCCCGGTCCTGCCGCGCCCCGCGCTGCCGCCCCGCGGGGCGCGGCCGGCTCGCCACTGCCGGTCCTGCGGCGCCGCCAGCCGCAGCGGTCGCCCAGTGGCAGCCCCCCGTCGCCGCAGCAGCCCAGGGAGGAGAGGACCCCCGAAAGATCGCCCCCGGAAAACCGAGAGGTCGACAGCAGCAGCGCCGAGAGCAGCGAGGTGGAGAGCAACCCGCCGCCCCGCACCTGGAAGGCTCTGCGCATGCGTGCCTCCTCGCCCTCGCCCCCGGGCAGGTGGTGCCCGCTTGCCATGCTGTTCGGGGAGTATAGCTCGTCCACCTCCACCTGCTCTCACTCCTCCGACGTGAGCGGCACATCCTCTGTCTCTTCCTCACCCCCTGTCCCTTCCCCACCCCCTGTCCCTGACCCGCAGTGCGAAGCTGATGCCGAACCCCAACCCGAACCCCAGCCTGAACGCGACAACGACCCCATGCCCGCCTTGGCCTATTCCGATAACAGCTCTCCTTCTCCCTCCCCCGGGTTTTTGGGTCTGGATTCCATCCGTACGCCGAGCCCCCGTAGCCTGAGGCGCGCGCTGATGCCTGAGGCTGAGCAAGAGTCTGAGGCTGAAGCTGAGGCTGAAGCTGAGGCTGAGGCTGAGGCTGAGCAAGAGTCTGAGGCTGAAGCTGAGGCTGAGGCTGAAGCTGAGGCTGAGGCTGAAGCTGAGGCTGAAGCTGAGGCTGAGGCTGAAGCTGAGGCTGAAGCTGAGGCTGAAGCTGAGGTTGATGTTGAGCTAGATCCCGAGTTTGTGGCTGAGATTGATTCTGATTTTGCGGATGAGATAGAGATTGAGGCAGAAAGCAGTTCTTCTTCGGACGAGGACGAGGAGTAGGTGTAGGAAGCCTCCTGGCACAGAAGCTCCCACACTGCTCTGTGCTGCTGCCAGCTCACTGAAGATTAGCCAGATGAGCCAGCAGCCCCCCCCCCCCGGGTCAAAGGTCTTCTCCCTAATTTTGAGTAAGAGTTTTAGCTGTTTTTCAACTCTGGGCAATAGTTGTAAGCTGTGTAATAAGTTGGGGCAATGTCTGTGAAATTCTGTAAGGGTTTGGGGCAATAACTGAAGCTGTGCAAGAATTTTAGATGGGTAACAACTCGGCAATAATTGTGAAGCTGTGTAAGAATTTTAGCCATTTTCAACTTTGGGCAGTAATTTTGAAGCTGTGTAAAACTTTTAGGCATTTTCCAGCTCTGGGCAACAATTTTGAAGCTATGTAAGAATTTTACTTGTTTAAACTGAGTAATAATTTGTTGTAGAAGAATTTTAAGTGTTTTCAAACTCCCCATAGTTGTAAAGCTCCCCTCCCCCTGCCTGCAGCGCTTTGCCTGCGTTCCAAGTCCCCCTGTTTCTCAAAGGGCTTGCACTTGCCCGCGCTTGGGAGTTTCCCATGTCAAGCTACTTTTAGATAATGAAATAGTGCATTTAGAAATAAAGTTTAGATACTGTTTTCATTAAAGCTATTGTGTTTGTGTCTTTTTTTTTTTTTTTTTGCATTATGGTCTAAGAAATTCGATCCTGTTGTCTTTGGGGGTACTAAAATTTTCAGCATACTTGCTGACAATACAGGGAAATGGGATCAAATAAAACTGGGGAGGTCTCTTAACCCAAGATACCTGGAGAAGAGGAGGAGTGATGGACAGGCCTAAGAAAAGCTGTGTGATTGAGCGTGGGTGAGTGGGGATGGGATGGGAAAGAAAAGCTAGGATTAAGAAGCAGGGACTGGGCCCGGCGCGGTGGCGCAGTGGTTAAGGTCCTCGCCTTGCACGCCCAGGATCCCATATGGGCGCCGGTTCTAATTCCGGCAGCCCCGCTTCCCATCCAGCTCCCTGCCTGTGGCCCGGGAAAGCAGTCGAGGACGGCCCAAAGCTTTGGGAACCTGCACCCGCGTGGGAGACCCGGAAGAGGCTCCTGGCTTCGGATCGGCATAGCATCGGGCGTTGCACTCACTTGGACGGAAGATCTTCCTCTCTGTCTCTCCTCTCTGTATATCCGCCTTTCCAATAAAAAAATAATAAAAATAAATCTTTAAAAAAAAATTTAAAAAAAAAAAAAAAGAAGCAGGGACTAGGGGACCTGACCTGAGGGATGAAGTCCTCACATGGAGTGGGGGAGGGGCGTTCCTGAACTCAGGTGGGAGGAGGGGACGGGAAGGAGAGGGAGTGGAGGCAGAAGCGTGAGGGTGAGTGTGTGTGCGATCAGCTTTAGAAATGGATAGGTACAGACCAGGTTAAGGACAAGGTATTCATCTCATTTTTGAAATAATGAGGTAAATGGTGCTTTGGTCCTAATTTTCCAGATTCTACATTTTCAGCATTGACCACTCAATTCAAGTATGTGTCCCCCTCAAAGTTAGATGATAGCTGTCTCTACCTACTCGGTCACTATGACATACTGGGAAGGCTCACATTGATTTCCTAGCTCATGGATCTTCCATGTCCCGACCTAACTGGAAATTTGGGAAATCAACAGTGGGAGATAATTCTATGCATCTCACTGTTTCTCTTCCTCCATCTTTAAATAAATGTAAAATCTAGGGTGAGCATTTTGAAAATTCTTTCATGAGTTTATTTATATTGGAAGTAGGGACACAAACCTTCCATAAATGTCATCAATTAGTGGTCAGAACATTGCTGCAGTTTGGGGACAGTTGCACAGTGCAATTGCACTTTGGCCCTGGGTGACAGAATGGCGTCACTGGGGAGGGCGTCGAGCTCTACAGCCAGCATTACGTTCCTGCCTGAAGCTCTGGACAGAGAGACCTGAGTTATGTCAATATTTTCAAAACATTTCAAAAATAGACAATCCATCAAACTTTATTCAGATGGAAATCAAATATCCTTGAGAGCATTTAAATGCCTATCTTTACACTTAACTCACTAAATACAAAAATTGAAATATTTATAAGGTTTATAACTATCTTTACACAGTTCACTGCACAGTTAAATATTTTCGAGGGCTGCTGCTGTAAGAAGGTTAAGCCACTGCCTAAAATGCCTGTATCCCGTAAGAATAGCGAAGGAAGTCCTGGCTATTTCACAGACCGTCCAACTCCCCGCTAATGCTCTTGTAAAAGAAGAGGAAGGTGCCCTAGGGGTTGCATTTGCGCAGCTCTTTGAGAGGCCGTGATGGTGTTCCTCCTGGCTGCTGCCCCAGGCCTAGCCGCTTGGGGAGGGAATCACCAGGTTTCTGGGAATGTTCCAAATAAATAAAGCTTTTTATTTTAAAGTGGGGAAATAACTATAAAAATATAAAATTTCAGAATAGTTTTAAGACTTGTTTATTTGAAAGGCAGAATTAGCACAGAGACAGAGAAAGATGGTTCAAGCATCATTCTACTCCGGAAGTGGCCACCATGGCCAGACCTGCGCTGACCTGAAGCCGGGAGCCCTTTCTGGGTCTTTTGTGTGCAAGGTCCCAAGGCTTTGGGTCATCTTCCACTGCTTTCCCAGACCGCAAGCAGAGAGCTGGATGGGAAATGGAGCAGCTGGGACAACAACCTGTGGCCATATGGGATCCTGGAGCCGCAGGAATAGGCTTAACCTATTACAAGACAATGCTGATCCCCATCCCCCTACTTCCCACCACACACACAGACGGACACCATTTTATTTAATAACTGCTTGCCCAAATCAATAGATTGCCATCAGCCACTTGAACATATTGTCTGCAGATTTTTGTCAAACACATGAGGCAACCCAACTGTGCTCTGCTCGTGCATATGCCAGATTGCACATGCCGTTTTTCGTGAGTCCTGGTAGCTTCTCTGTTTTGCAAAGGTGAAGCGACAGAGAAAGCCAAGGTTCCCTCACAGGTACCGAAACGCTCTCTGGATCACTTTCGACCATAATATCTAGTGGTGAGCCACTAATTTTTCCTTTGGTTTTGAAAGGTTTTACCGTCAGGATTTATACATGGTACGGTTATTTTCTGAACCAACTGGCTTAGGGCGCCCCCCCAGCCCCGCTCCTTCCTGCGCCTCCGCCCTGCCCCGTGGCAGGTGGGGCCTAATACCGCAGCTAGAGAGACAGGCCAGCCCCGGTGCGCAGCCGCAGAGCACACCTCTGAAAGCCGCACCTGGTGGGCCGGAAGTCACAACGCAGGTGGCGGGAGGGGGGGGGCGGGGAGGCTGGCGGGCGGAAGTGGAGGGGGTCAGGGAGGAGGGGCGTAGAGCAGCCCGGGAAGCTGCTCAAAGGCGGGAAAATCGCGTCAGAGGCTCCGGGGAGCGGCCACGGCACGAGAGCTCTTACAACAAGCAGCACATTTGCAGTGCCCCTGCCCAATATTGTAGATTTAGGTTCGAGTCCAGGCTCCGTCCCCAAACCTAGTTTGCGTGGAATGCACACTACGGGAGGCAGCAGAACTTGGGTCCCTACCACCCGTATAGGAGACCTGGATTAAACCTGTGGCACCTGGCTTTAGCCAGCTGTCAGAAATTTAGGAAGAGGTCACGTGAACGTAGTGCGTAAAGCTGCTTCCTTAAGTGCTGGCATCCATAAAGGGCGTCAGTTCTCCAGCCTGAGTCTCGGCTGCTGCATTTCCTTTCCAGCTCCCTGTTTATGGCTCAAGACCTTGGGAGCCTGCACCGCTGTGGGAGGCCCCCGTGGAGCTCCTGTTTTCAGGTAGGCTCAGCTCGGTTGTTCATCTCATTTGGGGCATTAAGCTAGCCTTGCCACCTTTGCCTTTCAGGCTCAGAAGCAGAGAAACTGAGACTCAAACACTGGCTCCCAGTAAAGTTCCGGAGAGGCAAGCTGAAGCTGAATTCCCTGGGAAACAATGCCATTCTCATATTTGCATTGTAGTTTATTAATTACTTAGTAAGTTAATTAATATATGTTTTGAAGTTTAGCTTTAACCTGATAGGGGTAACTGTGCACATTACAGACGTTTTGCAACTGAATTAGCAGAAGGGAACTGTCTCTGACCTTGTCTATCTCTCCCTCTCTCTATATATATGCCTTTAATTCAAATTTTGATTTAATAACCTGAATTGCCACAATGATCATGTAGTTTAGGAGGTCAGATATTTCTTGAGAGATCCCATCCCGCAGTGCAGCCCCTAGGTATGAATCCAGTCTCCATTTCCAGTTCCAGCTTCCTGCAGATGTACACGACACTTGGGCCCTGCCACAGACCTGGGAGGTCTGGTTAAGTTTCTGTCACCTGGCTGCAGCCTAAATTAGTGTCAGCTGTTTCAGAAATTTTGGAAAACGAACAACAGACAAGATACCTGTAGTCTAGCTCCCTCTGTCTCTGCTGTTTGTCCCTTTCAAGGCTTTGTTTCATCTGGCTGAAAGGCAGAGTAAAGACAAAGGGAGAAACAGAGACGAGATCTTCTGTCTGCCAGCTCACCCCCATAATGGCCACAAAAACTGGAGCTTGAACAGGCCAAAGCAAAGAGACCACAATTCATTACTGGTTTACATTCTGCGTGGCCAGGTCCTGAGTAGTGGGAACGTTTTCCTATAGTTTCCTGGGAACATGTGTAGGGAGCTGGATCCAAAAGTGGAGAGCCAGGACTTGAAGTCACAGTCACAAATGGCACGCTGGAGTTGTCTGCATAGGTCCATACCCTGTGCCACGGGCTGGGCCGCTAACAGCATTTTACATGAATTTTCCATAATCCATGTTTTGAAACTTAAGCTTGAACATGATGGGAACAGCACTAGATACTGCAGCCGGGGACTAACGGAGTAGATAGGAGCTATCCTCAGTTTCTGATTCTCTGAATGTCTGCCCTTCACACAGACACAATTGTGTTCTAAATTGTAAAGCTCTAGCATGAGCATTTTGTGCAGCAATTCACATATTAGAATGCCCATAGTCTGCATAGTGGA